GTGGGGTCACAATAGGGTGGGTGAGGAAAAGTGGGGAGGAGTGAGGGTGTTTGTCTTCTTTTTAAATTATAAGTGAATAATATTATTTCGAATTCATAATAGGAGCTCCCTGTTACTCGAGTCTACTGCTTGGTAAACTATAGACATTCGCACAATATTTCTTCAGTATTGGTGAGACGACTTTTGGATGTTTAGTCACTGGGATGAGTTCTTGAGCAAGACACCCGCAGTAATAGGCCTACATATACAAGGAGTAATGCAAGTAAACAACAGGTGTGCCATGCGTACGAACGAGTCCTATTGTGACATTAACAACCCCTCGACCATTGATCACATCATTGATTCGGGGCAATGTCTGCCACTGAAACCTCGTCTAATGTATAGGCTATAAATGTTGTGAACTTCCCTGGCTGGGTGAAATATTATGTGATGTAAATTTTGTAAATTATAGTTTTATTTGTTACATTTGTCCCCGTGTCTTTCCTCTCTTTCCTTGTTTTCATTCCTGTCCACTTGTTTACTCTGGGTTCGTTCAGTGTGTTTATGTCATTTTGCTCTGTCAAACTCAAAACAGCAGTTGAAATAAAACGCTCGACTGATGGAAAATAAGACCAAGGGAAATAACCAATATTTGACCCTTAAAAGTAGCGTCGTTCGGAGTGAGATCCCTGTGCCCTGCACAGGAAAACAATCAAAATGGCAGCGCCCTGTCGTGTTCTTTTCAGCCGTTGTCAAAGATCACGGAAAATAGCTAATCAGCATGCGGCACAAAGACTTAAGTCCATCGTTTGCCCTTCATCGGCAAGATTGTTCTCATCGGAATCAACGTAAGATATTATTAAGATCTAGAGATCTAGAATCTAGATCTAGATATCTAGATAAAGTAGCTTTTAATGCACAAATGCAGGCAATAAATTGACAAGACAAGAAGAGTCTGAATAGAACTGAAGAAACCTGACCAACAAGATGAGTCTGAGTCATGATGAAGAGACAATAAAATCAAGTTCTAGACAACACTAGAGTTGTGGCTCTTGTCCTGCGTCTGTGCTGAGATGCGAATCTTATCAGCAACCGTCGGATGTTCCGGGCAGGCTGCCGGGGTCACTCAGTGTGTACTCTTGTTTTACAGCGCGGGCACCGGGAAAGTGTGCTTTTGCCATGAATACCGTTGGAGTGTGTTAATCGATGATGAAAATAACGCTCTATCTTTCATAGCTTTCTATTTAAAGTGTTATGAACTCTCACAAGCTGAAGACATTACGAGTAGTTATGCCCATCCATTCGAAAACCTTTCTAATCTAGACGCATAAAAAAATGACCTGGGGTTCGAAACGGGATAATAGGTCAATTTCCAAATGTTTTGCACTCAAATTGTTCTTTGTACCCGCACAATGGTATTAAAAATTATCAAACAAGCTTATTTTTATTTTATCAGGTAGATCTAGATCTAGAATCTAGATAAATCTAGATCTAGATCTAGTATCATTTCATACAAAATCAAGCCCATTTGAAAGATTTTTTTATAGAAAATGGAAGTCTTGTTTCCTGACTATCCTTTGGAGCTCCTCATGTCTAAATGGGTCAATTTCTTCTATAATTTCATTGGACGAACATCTAGAGCTACCAACTTGGCGTGTTTTGAATTATGAGACGTGATTACGAACCAATGCAGACGGTTCTAGAAGGCTACAAACGCACAAAAACTCAAGCAGACTGACGCACACACACTTGACCTGCGTGAATGGGGATCCGACGCTGGACCCGAATTGAACGGGAGATGATGCTCGACGCGTGTGCGCTGAGCCAGGGGCCAGACTGACGCGGGACCAGAACGCAGGCGAGGTGCCGAAATAGGCTTTTTTATCGGGCATCATAAACCCGGCCCCCGCAGGACAAGGGTTAACAAACAAGTAAAGAGAAGATTCGACGCCCTCCTCAGCCTCAGACTATAATTATAGAATTTCCAAGATTAGATTTAGCACAAAGATTCAAAGACAAAGGAAAGTGCATAGGTCTAGAGATCTACGTGATGTTTCTGTCATCTCTGCATTAGTGAAAGCATTTTTCATTCAACGATAGTATAAAAATATGGGGGCTCTCGTGGCATAGAGGCAGAGAGGCAGGTTTTTTGAGGTGTTCGCTTCTCATTCAAAGGTCCTGGATTCGAATCCGAGTAGCGACGGAAAAAATATTCTTCTCTAAAAATTGTCTCCTTTCACCTTCTTTCCTTCTCTCTTGCAATATTCTGTCGTCTGCTTTTGTCTCCACTGTCTTCCCTCACCTCCTTTGCCCCCTCCACTGGGCTCCTGTGAACTGACTCTTTAGCCTTTCTACTGCTACTCCTTGGTGCCTTCTTACTTCTGTCTTTCAGCCACACCCCTGATCTTTTGGTAGGAAAGATCTAGTCTAGCCTTTTCAGACAAGGGCGAAAAATCTCGGAGGTCCTGTGTGCAAGTTGCATTTTAAAGATCCGTAATTGATGGTCCAAAATCGATAAGAAGGCTTCGGCGGCCACCTCGACAAAATCAAAATTTGCTACCAATTGAAAAATGTTTGGCGTGTCCCGCGCGCTCATATATGACCTTACGGAGTGTCTTGTACATGGTAACCGGGCACCTAGCCTCAGTGTCTACATACACTGTAACCGGGCATGTAGCCTCAATATCTACGTACACGGTAACCGGCAAACGGACACGTAGTCTCAGTGTCACGTACACGGTAACCGGGCAGTTCAGAACTCCAAGTTCAATTTTTGTCATCCGGTGTTGCCTCCATCCCCACCCCTCCCCCGACTGTACCTTTAAAAAAGTAAATAATCCCCCCATTCCGGAGCCCTATACTTCGCAGCACACAGACTTTGAATGAACTTTGGTGACCCTAACCGGTACTCACAATATGATGCGCACGCACAGGCTCACTGACCGGTCACGATGGCGAGCCCGACAAGACGCTTGTATGACTTTTCTTTTTTTTCAGCAAGTGACAGCACAGGACAAATATTGATTTATTTTTATTCCTGTTACCGTGTACGTTGAGACTAGGTGCCCGGTTACTGTGTACGTAGATTCTGAGACTAGGTGAGACGAGGTGTCCGGTCACCATGTACGTAAGATACTGAGACTAGGTGCCCGGGTACCATGTACGTAAGACACTCCGATGACCTTATGCAGTTGCGAGAGCCGTAAAACACTTATTTATGGAAAACAGAAATTTTATGTATAAAAGTGTAACGTAATCCCTTGGAGGAGTTCCACATTATGAGCAGAGTCGAGCAGATCATTATAAGAGCGGATAGCTAGAGAAGAACAACTAAACGCCATTAGCCGATATTTATAGTAACAGCCATCTTGTTTGACGTCATTGAGGGATTCCCACTTTGTCAGTCATGGTGGCAACACGACTGCACGACGGCAGCCTTCTGACTCGGATTATTTTTTTTGCAACTTTGTTGTTCAGTTCAGTTGTCTGTGATTGTGCAGCACCTTTCTTCCGCCCAGATTGATTCTGATGCTGTACACTACGTAAACTGAGAAGAAGAAGAAGACTAAGAGTAAGCCTATGTCAATTTGGATACGAAAGCAAGTTCAAACAAAGTTCAGTGCAATAAATGATCGACCGTTTCGATCCGGATCGTTTCTTTTTAAAAAGTTTTTTAAGCACAAGAAATTAAGCACTTACAAGAGATTAGACTCAATAGGACACTGAGCTGCAGATGGAGTAGAACTATAAGGAGAAGGAGCTTGGAAACTGCCTATGCAAACCATGCGCTACGCAAAATCATCATTATTTTTCTAATCACGATCAGATGACGCGGCGGGCACCTCCCGTGTGAGGTCAAATAAGATGACTGTTACTATAAATATCGGCCAGTGGCGTTAAGTTGTCATTCTCTAGCTATCCGCTTGTGATCATTATAATAGGTTCTTAAACCTGATTCAAATTACTTTCTGGCGTCTACATCCTGTTTTTCGACGTAAAGTGTTTCTACTCGCACACACACACAGTCACACACACACACAAAATGATAATTTTAAAAAACCCCACATAATTACTCAGCTCTATCCATGGGTCCTAAGATGTGATATAATAGATGGTGTCTAAACGTATCAATGTGTATCATAACTTGTTCCTTTTCAGATAAAAATGATTTTGATTTTTGTTGTATTCATCAGGAAAAATAAGCAACATCAGTATGATCTGGTCATTGTGGGTGGAGGCATCGTTGGCATGGCAACAGCCCAAGAGCTGATTATAAGACATCCAGATCTCAAACTTGCTGTGGTTGAGAAAGAGAATGAGCTGGGTATGTACTTTGGCCCTCTCTCTAAGGGGTATTTATTTCGTCAAGGTGTGCAAAGAATAAATAAATGCTTGTTGCTTTTTTCTGCTATAATTATGCTGCATGCTTGAGTCATGCACATGCGCTTTGTAAAGTATGTAACTTAACCATGTGAAGCTATGATAAGCACAAAAGTTCAGTTGTCCTCCCTACTTGGGTCTTTATTGTTAATGGTTTTTACAAAGCCTGGCAAGCATGTGTGCACTCATGAGCTGTGGGTAAGTACGTATACTAAGACTCGGCCCCACCGATGAGTCAAGTCAGCAAAAGGTGTTAGAAGAGTGACTCTCATTTAAACATTCTAGATTTTGTATTTCTGGTCTTCTTTATCTCCTTTATCTTCTTTATCTAATGATATCCTATCCACAATTAATGTGATGTGGATATATTTGGACTTTTGGCCAATGTCTTTTCGCATTCCAACACCTCCTCATCTTGCTCTTGTTATTTAGTTCAGGCAGCGAGGGAAGATGAGGAGTGCATGGATAGGGGAGCAGAAGATTCTGAGGTTAAGACGGTTAGATTTCTAATGTATCAATGGCAAAAATTGGTTAATTTCAACACCTTGCAACAAATTTCATTGGTTGATCCAGTCTAAGGCACTTTATTGAATTGCACATCTCAAAGGGCTCTTGCATATGTAGCTTTAATAGCAAGCAGAGATTATTCTGATGAGATTGTGAGATGATCCCTATTTTAATACATCTATGATCTGTGATTTTGTTTGTCTGACTTCTTGCATTTTCCTTCCAGAGCACTGCATTGTCAGAAGCATTAAGTAGGCCTACATTTTTAAGAAATTATATTATGTTTTCCAGTAGCTACCTAAAAGAAGTGTCTGTGGTGTAGTGGTTATGGGTTTCACAATTGTGTGCAGAAAAGACCTAAGAAGTTGAATTCTTGGGTGGGGAGAGGTTTTGTCAAGTATATCCATCTTTCTGCAGGGACATTTATGATTGCATCCCTCTCTATCCCTCTCACCCTGGGTTGACCCTGATATCATGGTCAAAGCTTGCGTCCTAATTGATCTAAAACACCCACATTTTAAAAAAAGATTAACTGTGGCACAAAGTTTCTGGCAGTGTATTATTTTTTGGGGGGAACATTTAAGACAATTTTGACCTATGATTTTGGAATCCAGCTTTTGCGATCTGGTTATTAGTTCCTCATTGATAGGTCTTTAAGAACTCAATATTATAAAAAAAATTTTTTTTAAACAATAATAATTGCATATATACAGGCCTTTACAAGCTTAAAGTGACACATACTTTTCAGTTTTAGTAATTACATCAGATCAACATTCTCTGACAATTTGCTTCAACAGCCGCTCATCAAAGTGGACATAATAGTGGTGTGGTCCACGCTGGCATTTATTATGCCCCGGGATCTCTCAAGGCAAAGCTTTGTGTCAAAGGTTTGGACATGGCCTACAAGTACTGTGATGAGCATGAGATTCCTTACAAAAAATGTGGGAAAGTAAGTAAATGAGAAAAGACCTTTTCCTTGCTGGACGTGGTCATTAGCAAGTAAGCTGTTCACTCTGTAATAATATAATGGGATCTTTGTAGGCTTTCTGATTTATAAAAATAATAGTTAAAATCAATGTTTGGTTTGAGGGATGGTATGTGGGATTGCAGAAGGATGGTTAGCAGCAAGAGAATATCTTTTGCCTAGTTGTAGGTCTTTGTTGAATTACTGGTGCGGTTTGTATCTTTCAGTATGATACAAATTATGTATTTCATGTGTACAACTTAATATCGCTCATAAAATCTCTTTAAAAAATGTAACTTCCTTTTTCATGTCATATTTTGGGTGCCTTAGAGGTAAGGATTTATGGAAGATGGAGAGAGACATAGATACTTTCCTGCCTCATAAAACTATCAGTGTGTCAGGCAAATGTTTTCCTATCGTGTTACATACGTGACGTAAACACTACATATTATACGTATTTTAAATAAAGTTTTTCAATGCATATTCATTGGACTAATATGATTTCCCCTTACTAGCTTTTCTCTCTCTATTCAGCTCATTGTTGCTGTTGATCCAGATGAAGTGTCAAGGTTAGAAGGTCTTCTTGAACGAGGTCAGAAAAACGGTGTCAAGGATTTGAGAATGGTTGGACCTGATGAGATCAAGGACATTGAGCCAAACTGTGTGGTAAATGTGCAATAATTCTCTCTAGAAATGTAAATCATTATGGATGATACAATAGATGCTTTGTGCATTATGAAATTTCTTTATAACATTATTTGGGGGGGGGGGGGGGTAACTTGTCAAGATAGATTTGACTCAATATTAAAAACAACTGCAATTAATGCGTCAAGTTGAAACATGCTAGATAATTTAATGTTTAAAAATGAAATTATATATTTGAAGGGTGTTGTGACAGAATGCATTAAGTTTTTGAAAGACATACGAAAAGTTGATTATTTTATTCACAATTTGTTACAGCACGTTTGAGGGAGAATACAGTGGACTCTGCTCAAACCAAACAGGTTTAATCCAAACACAATGATGAAGTGACAGAAAACAAAATGCCTGATTTTATTTCGTCTATTTGGGCAACCTTTAGTAGTAGTAGTAGTAGTATAGGGTTTTACGGCGCTCGCAACTGGGCAACCTTTGTAAACAAAAAATTTAGCTAAACCAAAGAAAAACCGATGGTCCAACAGATTTCAGTTTCTCTGTACAAGTATTTGAAGCAATATAGATTAATGGTTTTGCTTGTGAAGGGAAAGTCCAGAAATTTGAAAATTACAGATTGCCCATTTTGCTACAAAGCCCTTTATCTGTATTTTCCACAAACATTGTTTCCACAGTTTTTCATATTTTTTAGGGGGGAAAAAATTGCTAAAGGTCATGACAAAAATGTAATAGGTGCATAGTCTTTGTAGATACTTTATATAAAACAGTAAAAGAATAAAGCTGATCTCAATCTTTGCCAGTTCAAAAAAATAATTTTACCATGTTATTTTTTTACTTTAAAAAATCATGAATGTGAAGTCCTTGCTTAAAGATTCCAATAGCTACTTCTCTTCAGAGCTAGAAAACTGATAGAGAAATCATTATTCTGTTTTCTCATCGATTACCTTCTCTCATATTTCTTCTATTTTTTCATGCCTTTCTTATTCTGTTTTGTTTTCCTGCTTGCTACTTTTTTCTTTTTCTTAGTGTGGTGTCTCTCTTATATGGACTTATTTATTTTAGCGTTCTTTTGATTAAAATTGTAACTCTTTTCTTCCCTTTTATTTTTGCTCACATGCTCCTTCCTATTTTAGACTGACAGCACCATTGATTTGTTATACCTTTTTATTATATTCTGTTTTACAGGGTCTCAAAGCCATCCACTCCCCTCATACAGGAATCATTGACTGGGGACTAGTCACCAAATACTACGGCAAAGAGTTTGAAAAACGTGGGGGCACTATCTACACAAATTTTGAAGTGACCAAGTTCGACATAGCAGCAGAAAGTTCAGAAGAGGGAGGTTCTTCAGGCCTCAATCACCCTGTTGTCATTGAAGGGAAAAGCCAGGAGGTTGGGTATTTCTTTGTATGAATGACATTGTTTGTGAATGTTGTAGTTTATTTGGATTGTTTCAGAAACCATAAACTTAAGATTTTATTTACATGGACCTGCAATGGGTGCATTGCTTTATTTATATGGACCCGTAACATGTGTATTGCTGTATTTCACACAATGTAACAAAGCACATTTTCAGTTTTCACTTTCATTTCTTCAAAGACATGTGGATCACTTCTTTTTTGTAATTTTTCTCCTCGGTCTCTGAGTATCGGTCATGGCACATCACAGACTGAAGAAATATTTATGTTGAAGTCTAATTTTACAAGTTACATCTGTACCTCCGCACATTGGTTAGATAGGACTATAGAGCTGCTGTTTATGCTTTGCACCTAAAGCTATGAACTTCAATTTTTTGGGGGGTTAATATCAAACTTGCTTGCAAACGAGAGGCAATGAGAGTGTGGCCTACTACTACAATTTTTTTTAACGAAACAGTGAAATCTGTAGACTTCTTACTTGCAAGAGTAAAAAATATCCTGTCTGTCTGTCTTGTTCAACTTTATTTTGCTTCACCTTAGTCTCTCTATACACTTTTTTTTTAATGGACAGAACCCATCTTTGAGCTGTCGCCATGTTGTCACCTGCGGTGGTCTTCATTCGGACAAACTCGCAGAAAAGTCTGGCTGTGACCCTGTGCCTCGCATTGTCCCTTTTAGAGGAGAGTACCTGCTCTTGTCCCCAGAAAAGGAAGATTTGGTCAGAGGAAACATTTACCCGGTAAGCTTCTACTAAATATCTATCAGATTATGTTCCGGTTATTTAAATGGAGTATTGTGCAGCTAGTCATTGCTTGCAAAGTCGTGAGATATCTGATTCTAATTTACATAATGCTAATACAGTCAAACTTTCTCTAGCGGCCACCTATATATGTCAATCACCTGTACGAAACGCCACTTCCCTTTCCCCCCCTTGTATTTATTTTACATTATAATTACACTGTGTATGATGTTCACTTCTCTAGGACGGCCTCTGTTCTCCTCGACAATTGGTGACTTGTCTTATACCGGGTGCCCATTGCGGATTGGATTGGGTCGCGTCGGGTCGATCGCCTGACATGTCGCCACGTTTGTTTTTTAGACGATTAGTCAGGCGATCCGTTTGCGCCTCGATCACCGCTGTGCGCCCTCAATCTGGCGAGCAGACCGACCCGACCCGATCGTGCCAATGCCCACATAGTATTAGACAATTTCAACCGTATCTGCTCTTGAAATAGGGAGTTCTTCTCCTGTTGAAAATGTTTCATAAAAAAATCAAACTAGATTGCAGCTCGTCAACCTGGTTTAAATCACTTTTCTTTCTCATGCATTGATCCTCTTCTTCAGATGTATGACTACCGTGGGACTTGAACAGTAAAAAGTATGACCTTGCAGGGTCAGCAGGTGTGAAAGGGATGTCGTTATATTCATCACACATTCAGACTTTGATGTTTATTTTCTTTCTATTTTGTATTTTTCTTTTCTTTTCTTTTATTAATTTTTCTTTCTTTTTTTTTTTCTTTTAGTTAGATCCTTTGATTGGTACATTGGATAGACTTATGGTCATTGACAGGGTAATTGAAAATTGATGATTTGGGTCTTTACTGCTGTGTCTTAAAGAAAATCAGATGACCAATGTGTATTTCTGACGGTTGAATACTGTTTGATGGTGTGTGTCAACTGAAATCAGATACAGCTTTCTTCACTTAAGACAAGTACTCAAATGTTTTAGTCTTTTCCGTGATTATGGTCAAACCTTGTTATATTGCCCCTTATTATACCGTTAGCCCCGCTTACTGTCAGATTTCGTCAATGCTTGAAAAGGAATACGAATGTAAATATACTATTCACTTCTTTAAACTGCCATCCCTCTGCTGTCTAGATTTTATGGTCCATACTAAATTAACGTAAATGTGCACTGAGACCCTGCCAGTGACCTGGCTGCTAGAGGTACATGTTGTTCATGGCCCACTACACTTCCTCAGTAGTTGTGCGGTAATAATCTTTGTTTATCCCTCACATGACTCTGCATGCTAGCACTTGTAGTCAATTTGCCCCTTCCCCCCCTCCCCCCCCCCCCCCCCAACCCTTGTCGGTAAATTTTGGGCAACATGTGTTTTTCAGGTTAGACCAGGCATGTTGTAGTAGTAGTACCAACAAAGCAGAGCAATGATTGGTATTTTGCACTGTGTCTCGGTGGTGCTAGTGCTAGTCCTGAATTGTGTATGGAATTTATGACAATATTGAGTTGCTTTGGTCATTCCCCTTTTAAAAAAATTAAAATGCCCATAATGAACCTCATTTTTTATGAATAAAAAACCTAGTTCCAACAAATTTATTGAAAGGAGACTCCGTAGCATGTGAAACAACAATGTTTCTTTATATCTCAGGTGCCCGATCCGAGGTTTCCTTTCCTCGGAGTTCACTTTACGCCTCGCATGGACGGTAGTGTGTGGCTAGGACCTAATGCTGTGCTGGCTTTCAAGAGAGAAGGCTACGGATACACACAGATCAGCTTGCCTGACTTGGCAGATGCTCTCAGTTTCAGGTGGGCTTACAGTGCACACAGTGGAGTTCATATGATTCTCATACCTATGGACTCTAAGCAAAGCCCAAGTACTCCTCCTCTTTTTTACCTTCTTCTGACGTGTCATCTTCTCCTTTTTTTTAATTTACAGTTTCTCTGACTTATATCCTGGTGTAGGCCTAATGTAATGTTGCCTTTAATTTTTATATCAGGTGCTATATTCTTTTGTTATAAAATCAATCCACAAATTAAAGTAAATGGATCTATGTATGCAGTAATGGGTGTAAGATTACATTTTAAATTGTTTTTCATTGTCAAATTTATTGCAAAACTCGTCTGCAGCATATATGAGTACAAGTTCAAATTACAATCTTCCTTGTAGGGGTCTCCGGAAACTGGCATACAAACACCTGTCGTACGGACTAATGGAAATGTATAAAGGCATCTACATAAGAGCTCAAGTAAAACAGCTTCAGAGATTTGTGCCAAGTCTTCGACCAGAGGATGTTTCTAGGTGAGTAAGATTAACTCTTCTCAGGCAAATATTATGTCATGCTGGTGCCTGAACTTATTCAGAAATGACGTGGGTAGTTACCGCGTGTTCCAGTGTGATTTGCTCCTTCTTTCCTATGAAACATCTATCATCCTTATCTCTTCTAATTTTTTTGTTTTTGTTTCTCTCTTGTAACGTCTCTATTCTTCAGAACTTATTGTGTTTCAAGTGCCGTAAAACTTTTATGAAAACTAAACTGAAGAAATTTTTAAACTAAACTGGCACCACAAGATGATGTGTCTATTTTCGTCTCATTTACAAGAAAAAATCAAGCAGAGATGCGGAAGTTTAGTATGTATGAATTTAATGGCACATGCAACACAATAAGGCCATATAAATGCCGAGGATTAGAGGTGTTACCTGAGAGCAACATACAAATAAAAGATAGAGGAAAGATTTAGAAATAAAGATAGTTGTTTGATAGGAAAGAAGGAGCAAACAACACCGGAACACCTGCGAATCACCTTCTGCTGAAGATTGATGATTTCTCCTCCATGGATTGGAAGGAATGTAATAACCTGCCACAGGTCTGCATCTAGCTGAAATGATAATAATATGTAGACACCATGCATGTCGGTAATTGCTAGAGAGATGTTTGGAACATCATGGACACTAGTCACTCTGTCCAGTTGTAAAAGAGTTTCTTCATCTGTTGCGGTTACAAAGAGAGAAAATAATTAGATTGCCCATGTGTCTATGTACTGAATGCGGCTCAAAGAGTAGAGGGATGACGTGATTTGTACCAGTTTATATTTATTAAAAAGAAAATAAAACTGACGTGCTTTATGATTAAAAATAGGAATGAAATGTGAAGAAATGAACTGAGAGATATGAGATATGTAGTTTAAAGCAGACTAAAGAAATCCCACTCTGCATTGAGAAGCATCTTTTGTTATTTTAGGGAAAAGTCTTAATTATGAAAATACATGATCATAGTGTAAGCAGTAAACTTGACACTACAATTTTTATTTTTTTGTTGAAAAGGGGAGTTGGGAGTGTGCGGGTGCGTGTGTGTGTGTGTGTGTGTGGAGGAGGTTAAAGAGAAATAGTGCTAATTTAGTCATAGTAAGGTTTTTTTCAAATCATTGGCTTTGATTAAATTCCCTCTCTCATAAAAAGCTAGTGTTGAGCCTTGAGTACAACTATTCAAACAAATCAAGTTCAAGAATTCCCTTTTTTAATAGTCGGACCCAAGTTTTTTGCTCCTCAATCTAATATTCACCTACTAGACTTATGGTGCATAGTCTTTGGTTTCTTATCTATTTTTTTTCCCCTTATTTTTAGGGGACCAGCTGGAGTGAGGGCTCAGGCTCTGGATCGAGAAGGAACACTGGTGGACGATTTTGTGTTTGATGCAGGCACTGGGGACTTGGGCCAACGCATTCTCCATGTACGCAACGCTCCGTCTCCTGCAGCAACTTCCTCTTTGGCCATAGCAGAAATGGTGGCAGACAGAGTGGAACAACAGTTTAGCTTGTAAACAAGAGAGTGCCTTACAAAATGGAGACTTTGCTCTTTCATGGAAACTTATTCTCTTGTCTCTGTACTATGCAAAGAAAACATGAAGCATACAAATTAATGGTGCATATTCGCTCACTAGAAATCCAGCTCTTTTACTTTAAAGCGGGTTTTGCAGAATATATTTTTCATACTGTTATTTCACTTTGTATCATGTAAACAGTACGATTCTGAAAGGTGAGTTCATAGATGTGGTGATTTTGAACAAACCGGTGGTAGACACATATATGCCTCTTATCTAATCGATGTGATAGTCTTTTAAACTATACTGCAAAGTACAAAGAAAACTCTGACCCACAATGTAATGGAAACTTTTCAGAAATACATTTGTTCAAGAGCTTCACATGGCAACATGAGTTGTAAAATTAGAAACTTGAATATCATCAGCATCATTTCACAATCGCCTAAATCAATTTCTAGGGGTTTCCAGATGACTGTTATTCGAATGAAGACATCATGGAGCATCTTACACAGTTTTACTGTTTCATGTTGTCCTTCCTTTGAAAAAAAAAGCTTAAAAAAACAGTGGTGGAATGATGCTGATGTTTCAAAAGGTCATGATTTTGATAAGTTTGTTTGTGTTGTGCTTTTCTCACAGAGTTGTTGTGGTGAAACTCTTTCAAATTATCAGTAACCAGAAATTGAAATTTAGACTGAGATATTTCACTGTTGTATGATGTATTAATTTTCAGTGGCAATTTGGCCTTAATGTGGTTTATGCGTCCTGACACTTTGATTATGCCAACTTTTTGTGTTTTTTATTTAGTCAAACCCCTGCACCTTTGGATTAGCATGAATTGTGGCGTCTGTGGCTTAGTGGTTAGGCTACCGGACTCGCATTCGTGAGGTTGCGGGTTCGGGGGTTTGAGCTGTGGGCCCGACGTTGTGTCCTCGGGAAAGGCACTTTACACGAATTTTCCTCTCTTCACCCTGGTGTGAATGGGTACCCGGCCATACACAGCGAAAGGTCTTGTCAGTATGTTAGTGTTTTAGCACCTATAAATGGCCACTTGCTCTGTATGCTTCCTAGGAAGTTTCAGAATGCTCTCAGGTCTGCTGGGGTAATAGTATAGATTGTGAAGCGCATAGAGCTTGCTGTTGAGCGGGGATTTGCGCCATACAAATGCTATCTATTATTATTATTTAGCGGTATGTGAAACTAATCACAACTTCTCAATACCAAGGAAAATAACTCTGTCATGACTAGATGATGGATAATATTATAGTGAGTTATTTCCCTTCATCTAAACCGTGATGGGATGATCTTAGGATTCCTGCAAGCGAAGTCACTACAGCTTGTTACTTTCGTCAGTCGGCATTAAAAAAAGTGTAGCTCATTTATTAATTTGCCACTAGGGTTTGACTGTAATGTGGAGAACTACTTACTGAGCACTTGCTTGGAAACTTTTGTTGTGTAATGTACTTTTCTTATAGGGGAAGTATTTGTGAGGCAGTGTGGTGAAATCAGGCGCTCGTCAAAATAATTCATTTGAAGAAACTGGCTTTTTTCTGCCAGTTTGGCAAATTTTGTCTAATTTTTGTTTTTTGGCTTAACACATTGTTGTCCAATTAAGAACCCATTTCTGGGTGGATTATATGAAAAACACTGATAAAAGGCACACAAAATGTAAGTTTTCTTTTTCCTCGGACTCTCAAGCTATGGAAATAACCAGACATTGGCGGCCATTTTCTCTCTAATTCTACGCAGCTCTACCTTCTTCAGTCTCAAATGTTTTGACTTTAATTCAAGATAGATGGGCATTTTTTTTTCACCTATAGCAAGACAACTGAACAATCTTTAAGATGATACCAATAACTCCACATGCCAAAATTTGACGAGGGCCTGATTCCACCGCATCATGCATGGTCTGGGTTGTATTCAAAGCCCATCCAAAGCCTATGCAGTGTGTACTTCTGAAAGTAAAGGTCTGTAGGTAATTATACGACTACTTTCTGATTTTCGGAAGTTATAAAGTATTTGAAAAATTGAGGGATTTGAACAGTCTCATGTTTTTGGTTTGTTGGTTAGTAAAATGTTTTTAAATTTTGTATTCTACTTCTGGGGGGGAAGAGGTAAAGAGGCAGTTTCAGTCTAATTACAAGAAAAAAGAAAGCTCGATGTTGGGTTTTTTTTTCAAAATGCGTTTTTAGTACCACCTGTCACCTGGTTCCATTAAAATCTCCCCTTCCTGGTTATGTAAATATATTATATTGCAATCACTGCCCTCCGGGACAAGGCTCAATCATGTTATCAACACATTGGTATTAATTTTATTAAATGTATGTTTTGTGGTTGCACGGATTGTTGTCATATTTGTATTTTCCACACTGTGGGGAAAAAAAGGTATATAATAATATATATGTACAGTCGAGCACGGATAACTCAAACACGTTGGGGACTGACAAATGGCTAGCTCAGACTCAGAATTACAAAGTCCTATCTGACATTTTTGGCTGTTTTGAGTTACTAAGACAATGAGGTCAGAAACCAATTGTTCTATCTGCTCTATCAAAATCCTAAGATCACTCGGAGTCGCTTTTGATCTATTTAAAGAATTGCATTTGAAAAAGCTTGACATGTTGTGAAATTCAAATTTTTATTACATCAAATTCCGTGATTTCGAATTTTCCATGCCCGGCTGTAATGGGGTTACCTTGTTATTTGTTGTTTTACTTATTCTTTGTTATCTGTTTATTTCTCTCTGGCAAATGTGATGTACTTATCCATGTCTCAATATGGAACACAATGAGCAAAGCAGAAAACTTTACCTTACCAAGAGATATAGTCCTCTGAAGCCTACTAAGTATTACTGATGTTTTGACATCAGAACTAGCAGGTGATGTTCTTGTTAGTGGTTTGGGTTAGTTAACATCCTTTTTCTGCTCCTTTCATGAAAATAGAAACTGTATACGATAAAGTCAGAGCTCATCACTTTATCCCTGCAGTAGTCAGTTTGACTACTGCATTAGTGGATATTATAAGCTGCATAGGTCTGTGATAGGTCCCATTTGTTTTGTTTTTTCCAAATGCTGTCAGTGGGTTACTTGCATTGTGGTCAATTTTTTTTTCTTTACCTCAACAGCTACAGACAAGCAGTATGTTTGTGTATAAAGTATAATCCGCTTGTATCGACATGCTTTGGGAAGTGGATTTGATGTCGATATATAAAAATGTCGATAAATGAAAATATAAAGCCAAAGAGGAAAAAACAAGGGGATTTCAATGGTAAAAGACAACACTACTTTTTAAAGCTGGTTGCCTCCCTTGATTCTTGAAACCAATAAGAGGCAGTTGGGGGGGGGTGTTGGAGTTACTGTACCAAAGACCAATGCGAGGCGCACACTACACACCAGCGCAAACTTTGTTGTAGCATCCTTGTAGGGCATGTTTTTGGCGCTTGCAGGGGAAAATGGAAAGGTGAGGCACTGACTCACTGACCGTGGCTCTCGTGGCTCTTGCCAACGACAGACTGAGAACGGGATGGGGAAGGGGAATGAGCGATCAGGAGTGGAGGTAGGGAGGTGATGCCCAGCATGCGAGACGCTCACGTCTGAGAGGCACTGTACTGCGTTGGAAACTACTCTGTGTTGGTCCTACATGACCAACTAAAGCCTGGTGTGTTGATATAATAGGCTACTTGGCGGGAATGCGGACTTAATGAAAAACTATGCATTGAGCGTTAGTGGGGCTTTTTCCCCCATTTATGTTCGTGGGCTTCGCCAGGTACCCAGGAAGGATGTCGATAAAGCAGAGTGGGCCAAAAAAAAAAAGTCGATAGAAGAGAAATTGAAGATATTGAAGGAAAAATTTCGTAATTGGAAAATATGTCGATATGTCAAAATGTCGATAAACTGGATGTCGATAAAAGTGGATATACTGTATTTTGTATAAAAAAGCATTGTGCACTTTATACAGCATTATTTTTTCTCTTTTGGGAAGAGGTATTTGTTCCTATAATCAGATGTGTAACCAAGATTTCAAAGGGCACATACCCAAGGTGGGCACTGCTTGAGCATGGGGAAAAGTAGTGGGGGTTTTTTGTTTTGTTTTTTCTCAGGGAAAGGGAGGGGGGGTGGATGTAAGACAGTGGGGCATTTTGTCTCTTCAACATCCACACAATCCATTAAAGTGGAGGTAAATTTTAGTTCCCAAGAAAGGAAGCTATTGTCTCTAGATAAGACCCCAGCCTTCAGTTGTGTGGATGTACCAGTTGGGAAAAGATAGAATAGTACCCAGCACTAATACAGGGAGGAGTTCATAAAATTTTGCTAATAATAATTCTACTAATGAAGTTCATTTATTTTTAGTGCCCACTCCCGGGGGGGGGGAGGGGGGGAGCTCCAGGTGCAAGCTAGAGTTGCTGTAACCTACTTCCATCGATTCTTTGCGTGCCATGAGCACAGTCGTGATACAAATTTTCTTTTTGTATGTTACTTTGCACAGTTCTATTATTCTATCTCTAACCTCCCAATTCCACCTTTACATTTATTGTACTGTGATCAGAGATATGGTGTAGTAAGCGGGATAATAAAAATAAAATGATGAAAGGAAATATTCCAGATTGTGTCTGTGTTTTAATTTGGGCCCTGTTATTATGTTTGTTACAATAGTGTTGATGTGGTTGGCTGGTGGGTACTCTTGTATTGTCTGCTCTTTTGACATACAATGGAGTCTGCTTAAACCAAAATCTGCTGGACTGCCTTGGGTTTAGCAGGGTTTTCGGTTTTCAGAGGGTGTTCAAATAGAAGAAAATTATATCGAAGGTTTTGTGTTTTGGTTTTCCGCCGTTTTTGGATTATAGGCCTTAAATGTTTGGTTCAAGCAGACTCCACTGCATTCTAAGTGTTACCACTCTGCTGTCAGCTGACAAACGCTCTTTTTCATTTTTAGTGCCAAATTTTTTTATTTGCTAAATTGAAAGTCTGATCAGTTACCCTACTCGTGTGAAAAAAAATCAAAGTGAATCTGTGACTAGTTTTTAAATAAATTAAAATTCAGGTTCTGGAAGAACGCCTTTTTTAAAGTTGTGCTGACAAAAAGCCTCTCTGTATCTCAAAACTGCTGTGAATTTTAAAAAAAGGCATTTTGTCAGTTTATGGCAGTCCAGTCTTACTGTGAGCTACTTCTTGGCAACATGCGGCCATTGTCCAACTGATTTATCAAAAACAGTATGTGTGCAACTTAACCATTTATTAGAGTTTTGAGTGCGATGAGGACAATCTCATCCTCACAGTAATGTGGGATACGGTTGATTTCCTGCCAAAGCATTTCGATTGGAAGATGCCGAATAATCCAGGCTAAAATAAAAAAATGCAAGTAGCAGCCATCATCATGAAAATTATTTTTTTTTCTTCTAAATTCAGACTTTTTATGGGATTTTTTTGGTGTATAAAAAAGAAGGATTCATTTGTTTCAGATTTGATCTCTGCACAAAAAAAATTAATATCAAATAGGACCTTAGTATTTAACGTACATCTCCGATTAGGACCAAACCGAAAGGAAAAATTTATGTTGAGCACTCATCTCAAGGACACAACGTTGTAGGCCAACTAAGATGAGCCTTAAATCCCTGAACTAGTCACCTCACGATTACAAGTCTGGTAATCTAACCATTAGACTGCTGATGGCATAAGATATATACTCTGAGAACACTCTCAACAAATATATTACATCAGAATGAAAATAGGAAGGACTGTACATGAATCAGTCAGTTGACGCTGGCCTATTTAGCTACTCAGAAATCAACAAGTTTAAGTTTTTTTTAAAAAGATAAAACAAAAGATATTGTTATGGTGAGCGCACTTCATAGTTTATTCAAAACCATGATGCAAGCATGAGTTTCTCCAAGTTTTACATAATGTTCTGAGACCAACCACAACTGTACACACTGGTTTCCCAGGGTGGCATCATGCTCTGGAGGACGGCTGAATTCAGACAGATGACAATCCTCTTTGGAAATGTCTTGATCGCGCGCCATGAAAGACTGTACTTTGTCTTTTAGGGCTTGACTTGTGAGGAGAACACATCGACCTTTGTGTCTCAGTACTCTGAAACAGGACAATCCACTTTAGAGTAAAAAAATCAGTAATAGTGAACGTGGCTTCATTAGTATTAGTATTATATATTATTCTATTCTCCTGTAACTACACTTACACCCTATCCCCCGACTGTTTAAAGAAAAGGAACATAAATGATCTAGTCTTATTTAGATGACAAGAAAGACAAGCTGAAACACTTCCATTTCATATGACAAAGAACATTTTGTTATTACTTTTCAAAGTTGTGAGTCAGAGCGAGTCAGTGTGGCCATGGTCATTATGTTGATAGACATGGGTAGAGCATTCATATTTTATATATATTGAACCGACACACATATAATACACTCACATACATTCTCTCTCTCACACACACTCGCGTGCACACACATACACACACACACACAAATTGTCAATATCACGTTAATATCAGTCAGACAGCCAATGAAATGCAGTGGGATGTAAGCATATGAAAGATCGTTATTTAATTTTAATTCTGAATGTGACCAAAGACGTTCTGGTCCTTTCTAGAATACTTTTTTTCACCCCAGTGTCATTTCAGCAGACCAAGTCATGTGCATATCAAACAGTCTATGGGGGCTCTCGTGGCCAAGAGGTTAAGGTGTTCGCCTCTCATTCAAAGGTCCTGATTTCGAATCCGGGTAGCGACCGAAAAATTTTCTTCTCTAAAATTGTCTCCTTTCACATCCTTTCCTGCTCTCTAGCAATGTTCTGTCATCTGTTTTCGACTCTGCTTTTGACTCCACTTTCTGCCCCCACCCCCTCACCTCCTTTGGGCTCCTGACTCTTTCTGCAGCATTTCTTCTGCTACTCCTTGGTTCCTTCTCACTGCTCTCTTTTAACCACACCCCTGATCTTCTGGTAGGAAAGATCAACACCTAGCATTCTCGGACAAGAGCCAAAAAATCTTGGAGGTCCCACATGCAAGTTGCACGCATTAAAGATCCCTTGGTGGTCTAAATTCAACAACAGTAGGCTTCGGACGCCGCCAGGGCAAAATTCAAAATTTTCTACCAACTGAAAATGTTTGGTGCGTACCTCGCGTTCATATGATCTTATACAGTTGCGAGCACTGTAAAACACTTACCTAAAAAAAACCCCCCAAAAACAGTCTATTCTGAGACAAGCAAGCACTAAACTTCCACGGGAAAAATATTTTACGCATCAAAATTCAACTGCAAAATAAAAAAAATAAAGAAATTACACATCAAACTTCAACAGCATAAAAAAAAATACGTTAGATTTAAAAGGGGAAAAAAATGGATTACCACCTGCCTCTTATGGTGTTATGCATTTATTTATTTATAATCTACACAGAGAAAATGTTTATCACCTGCAAATTTCAGACAAAAACTTGAAATAGAACACATCAGCATCGCCTGAGATACTGTGCTTTTGGTCAAAAGGGGCATCACACAAAACCACATCAAATACCTCATGGCGGAATGGCAACTCTGAAAATGTAAAGAAGTACAAGGAATCATTCCGGAAATTTTGCGTAAATTAAAGCACTCACTTGTATGGTAACTCAAAAAGACAATGCAACTTTTCTAAAAACGAATTGAAAGTTACATTGACAATGCAAGTGTACACTGTAACCACTCAACCAGAATAGTTACTGATGGATTTGTAAGGAAACAAATTCAAACAGAACAATCATCAGTATCAGTTTGCTTCCCTT